TAATACCTAAATAGACAATTATTCAGCTCATAAATTATATCCAAATATGAACAAGTCGTCACAATTGTGAACGCAAAATCCTCAAATTGGGTGAAGTGTTAAAAAACTGTTGTGGGAACATATTCATCAACCACTAATTATAATCGAGTAGACAACTAAATCAAAATTTAAATTTAAACTCACATAATTCTTTTCTTTCTACTAATAATTTTCTCAAATTTCGGCTAAATTTTCATGTTAGTTTATCCAAATTTTCTTATTTTTTTGGTAATTGTTTGCTATATTTTATTAGTAGTTGTGTGGTTTTATTCTGATATGTGTCAGGCATTTTTGTAGAATATTTATAGAATAGCCATTTTTGAAATGCAAAAAATCGACCCAAACCGGTCGGTTTGGGTCGGTTCGATCAGTTTCGTCAGGTCGGTCGATTTTTTGCCCACCCCTAGTTCTGGGTGCTTTTCATTTTATGTGTGATTTTTCATACGAATTTCACACATTTCTTGCCATCATTTCTCTACCAAAGGCTAGACAAAAAAATTTGGAAGTTAAAATGAGAGTTGTGGGAAATTATAAAGAGTTGGAGGTTTGAATTCTAAATTCAAACCACTCCCTTCAAACCTTTTGATATCTTATGAGGCGGGTCGCCCCATATGGATGACACACAACCCGTATTTTCCAACGTTACTTTGTCTAGTTTTAAACAAAAATAAATTATTATGTGCTGTTATTAGAAATTGATGGATTGCACGAAATGTGCAGTGGAAAAAAATAAAAATTTCCCATCTTTTTAACAAACAAAAACTTGAAAACACTAATTCGGTGGACGATGAATGCACGTCAGCGGTTGTGATGACTTATTTATTAGGTATATGTGGATATAAATATTATCTAATTTAAGGGAAAAAATTAGGGTTGAACAACGAAAGTGTCAAACCGTAAAATCGAACCGAAACTGCTTTTTCTGAAACCATTGGTTTGGATTCACATGAATTCATCAACGTTTTGATTTTGAACCGAACAAAACCACTTCAAAGTGATTTGATTTAGGTATTAATATTTGCAAACTGTTTCAAACAGTCAAATCATTCACAAAAAATAAATAAATAAAAATTAATTACTTTAAAATTTTATTCAATTTAAACTAAGCACGACCCAATTAAAAAGATACATCCATGTTAAACATAATCCAAGTAAAATTAATACCTAAATAGACAATTATTCAGCTCATAAATTATATCCAAATATGCACAAGTCATCACAATTGTGAACGCAAAATCCTCAAATTGGGTGAAGTGTTAAAAAACTGTTGTGGAACCATATTCATCGACCACTAATTATAATCGAGTAGACAACTAAATCAAAATTTAAATTTAAACTCACATAATTCTTTTCTTTCTACTAATAATTTTCTCAAATTTCGGCTCAATTTTCATGTTAGTTTATCCAAATTTTCTTATTTTTTTGGTAATTGTTTGCTATATTTTATTAGTAGTTGTGTGGTTTTATTCTGATATGTGTCAGGCTCCCTTAAATATTTATAGAATAGCCATTTTTGTTTATTTGAGTCTCAATTTCTCGGTCATGTAACTCAATTAATTATTTGCATTTTAACTTAGATTTTAGATTTTATTGTTAATTGCCAGAATGATTTGGTGGATTACTTAAATAATCATTTTGAAGATTTGATCATTGAGTCTTTCGACATATTACTTTGATTAAAAATGAATGCAAACAAATATAAGATTATCACACAAATTGCTAAAGATGTGTTAGCTATTCAAATATTAACAATTATTTCTACTTCTACATTATCTATTAGTGGTCGACTTATTGATTCCTTTAGGAGTTCGTTGAGTAAAAATATAGTTGATATGGTAATTTGCCCTTAAAATTGATTGCATAATATCAATGAACCAATGGTGATTCGACAATATTTGGATGATATAGAAGCATTGGATAATTCACAAAGAGTTATAGAACGTATTACCTTATTTAATCTTTTTATTCTTTTTTTATTAGTTGTTCTATATCATTTAATATAATAAATGAACTAGTATATTATATTCTTATTTTTAAGGAGAGAAAAAATTATATGTTATAATTGTAGATGTTGCACTTGTACCAATTAGTATGATTGAGATGTTAAAATGTCTCTATCATGTTGTTGCATTATAATGATTAAAATTATAGAATTTTAATTTGTAATATTTTTCATGATACGATTTGTGTTTTAAACGTGAAGCTTTATACTAACATTTATAATTTAACTTATTTGATATACATTATTTTTTTACTTGTTAAATCATGGTTTTAAATCGAACTAAACTGAAAAAAGTGGTTTGGTTTGCAAATTTATCATAAACCGCTCAAACCGAATCGACCCTAGAAAAAATATATAACATTGTTAAGTTCAAATAAAATATTATTTGAGGAGATTTTAAAGACTATCGATTTGGAATTGCGAAAGTATAAAGCTGGTTGTACCGAAGTGATTGACCGAAGTAGTTGACAACCACTCACAAGTGGTGGGCCCCACTGTGATTTAAAAAAAAAAATACACACGCACCCATGTGTGAGAGATTGTCAACAAATCCACCCCATTCCCCCTGTACAAGTAGCATAGCTCATTGTGAAATGGTGATTTGTGTAAGAATCAATGTACTGTCTTGATCGAACAATTTGTATACCTTAAAAGCAGGGACATCGGCATTAATGAGCTCAAATACACACGTATTGTCGATGTTGACATATTTTGCTATTGCATACTTGACTCCGTTTTTTCATTTTTGACTCAGTTTGATCTGATTTGAATATTTGGACAAATGTAGACTTCTAGAATGTGTTTTTAACTAGTTTTCAAGGTAAATTATGTTTTAAAAATATGATTTAAATTCAAACATTATTTTGAAAATCAATTTAATCTCTCTTTTAATGAATGATTGTACTAAATCAAGTATTAAGAGAGAAAATAGAAACTTTGATGAATATAATGACTTTGCAAATATGATTTAATCAATCAAAGTTTTCAATATGAATAAGTAGAAAAATTTATACAATATAAGTGCCAAGATCTTCTTCAAAAATATATCTGTCTTTTAAGATTTATATAAATAAGTTAAGCACAAAGAGAAATGAAAAAACTTTGATGAAAGAAATAATTCAAGAAATTTGATTCAACAATCAAAATTTTTATTATAAAGACATAGATGATATGAATATAAAGATGTAGACTCAAAGAATATTTTTCACTCACATATTTCACTATAAAGTTCTCTTGAAGTTGTTATTGATGAATGAAAAAGAATTGGTATTTATAGGAATCAAAACGGTAAAGTTCTGCCCAACTAGACGATCCCTACCGGACGTCCGGTACCTATCGGATGACCAATATAGCCGTTGGGTGTCAGAATTCAAAATGGTCCGAAAATTTGACCGTTACCGTACCGGTTACCGGACATCCTATTGACCATTGACTCTTTTTTTTAATGAAAATATGATATAAGTTCAAACATTATTTTGAAAATCAATTTTACTTTTGATCAAAATATTTTATGCAATTGATAATCAAAAAAACTTTTAACACATAAATTAATTTTTGAGTTTTTATCATTCATTATTAAAGATCAAAATATTAGTACCTTTACATTTAAACTAAGAGATTTAGTCTTGATCTTGTTTGCAAAATTTGGCTATTAGACTTTCGTCTTGATTTTTGACGTTTGTTTCTTAAGCTCCTGTCTTTTAAGATCTTTTCTTGAAGGACTTGTCTTGAATGTGTGATTTCGATCTTGACTTTCTTCATGAGTCTGGTTTATGATAGTCTTAATTTTGATCTGTTAGATCAATTTATCATTAGATGCTTTGAAGACTATAATTACTTTAAATTTAATTAGGATAAAGCCACTATGCTCGAAAAAAATGGACTGAGGCTTTGATAGCCTCTCGCAGCACCTGACCCCACATAAATATAAAAATGCAAAAACGGTGGACCCCACCCCCCATTGTAAAGGTCGGTCACCGTCTCTGTCAAAAATGTTCGGGCACTGCAGCACGGTCCATTTAATTATTAGTAAGATTAACTTTTTTGTTATAATCAAAATTTTAAGGTTATAATCAATTGTAGGTCAACGATATAACAGTACAAGTATTTAGACACGAGTTTATGTGATATTAAATGATATATTAAATTAAATAAATCTCATATTCTTAATATTGAATTGAACCAATCGTTTAATGACACTTGTGTGCCCCCAGACAGTGTTTAACACCCATGATGCTACATAACATTTTCCCATATCCGGGAGGGGAATACAACACATACACTTGCAGTTGACGCTTATTAGGTATATTAGTTTATGGGTTTTACTATATTTACATCAAGGATTACATCATATACAAGTGACATTACGTAATTTGTTGGTGGGAATAAAACAATTTTCAACAATCAATTGCATAATGTCACTCATACATTATGTAATCCTCGACGTAATATTCGATATACAAGTAGAATAATCCTTAGTTTATATAGTATATTGGTCATCTAGCTCCTTTCCTTTCAATGGCCATAATGCAATTTAAATTATGAAACTAATTGTTTGGTTGACAAATAATAATACCAGTAAAAATTAAAGAAAATAGAGGTCGTTTATTATTTATGTAATTATAGGGATCCTCCCACTTCAATGAATAATACCATCTAGCACCAATGGTACTAGGACACCTATCTATGTGCATGTAATATATTTAATTCAATGTGAAATTATGTGATCATCTATGGATACATACAAGTTATAGATTTATTTCTACATTGATCTTCATTTCCCAAATACATTTATGTTTTCTGATCAGCCAAGACATCATAATCATATGTGACAAACCAAAATGGAGTCTAGCAATAACAGCAGAAACCCAATTTATTACAGGGGCATGGATTGCATATAAATGAGAGAGTGAAAAAAATATTACTATCCAAAATGCTGCAATAATTCCAAATATATAATCTACTCGCCCCACAAAAAACTTTTGACAGAAGACCACGGGTAAAATTGGAACCCTGTTGAGAATGTAAAGGCAATAGGTTAACTAATTGGGTATACTCAACTACTCTCCTCTAATAATACTAGACTCTAGACAAACAGCATTTTGTTTGGCTGTGTATTTTAAAAGTAAAAACTATTTTCTACCTTTGTTTCTAAATTTAACCTGTGCATTTTCACTTGAAGCTTCTAGGCGTACGAGCTGCTTCTCAGTATTGCCATTGACAGCGCATTCATGAAGATCTGATGTTTGTGATGCCATTGAACAGTCGTCTTCCGTGCCTTCCAACTCTGACGATAGGACTAATTTCACATGATTTGATGCGATAGCTTCCTTCCATCCTGCATATTTGAAACCAACCGCATTGAGAAGTCGAAGAGTTATACAATGAATGCCGAGACAAAAAAGGCAAGAGATCGACATACTCTGTGCAAGAAACTCTTTTGCAGCAATACTGCAGAACGGTAAACCTCCTTGTTTAGCATTTCCATCTGAAAACATATCACTGTGATTTCCACCATCTCGATCATCACTGTCAACAGAGCATAATTGCATACATCTGTCACTGCACACTGTTTGATTGCCAGCCTCATCCAACACACTCCCTCCAGATTCTTCATCACCTTTGTCGACTGGCCAAATACCACTAGTTTCATGCTGGTTGACGGGAATCCAAAGCTTACTAGGACTATGTTTGACTGGCTTCTCCAGAATATTACTTTTCTTAGGTATGGTATGCTTGGTGCTACAAGTATCTTGCACTTCAGGATCTCTTAGTGTGACGGAAATAGAACCAATCATCACCTCGAAGCTATTTTGTTCAATTTGTTGGTTACTGGTCTCTCCCTGCAACCTAGGTTTTGATTTCTCTTCCTCATTATCCTCATTAAATTTCTTGGTCCAAGCTCTGCTGCCGTTAAGTAGAGGACCATGATCTTTAGGAGTAAGCTTTTGTGAGTGTTCAGGGTTCAATTCTTGAAGATCGTGACTAATGTAAAAGCCATTTCGACCACCCTTTTGTGACTTTGCCACCTGCCATCTATTGGTTGCTAAATGTTGACGGCCATCTGAGTTCATCATCCAGGTTTCAACGGTCTGGAAATTGGCTTCATCGACATTTTCGCTGCTGAAATCAAACTGAGCACCAGTACCTTCTATTTCTTTGCTTGGAAACTGAATGCGTTCAGGGAAAGACGCAACATTTACTGGCATTTCTGGAGAATTCAAATTGGAATCAAATGGAGATGGAGGGTCAGGTGCTTCTGCAGAGAGTGAATCATCTAGTGCATTAGTAGAGAGATTCAAGTATGCCTTGCATCCATTCAATTGATCCTTCGTTTTCTGTTCCTTCTGACGAAGCCTTTTCTGTTTTTTTCTCTCCAATAGTTCAGCTTGCCTATTTTCAGAATGGTACAAACAATTGGAGAAACGTTGAAACTTCCAATAGAACAGGATTGAGAAAGGAATATAGTGTATATGATTGAGCTTGTACACGTCATTGGATTGGTCATAATAACTCAGGTTTTGCTATCAAAAACATAAGCTGATAGAAAACTTTTCCCCAATCTATAACTTCTGCAGAATGGCTTCAGTTTCCAATAGAGGGCCATTGAATAAAATAGTTCAATAAAACTAAAAATGCCGCATATTTCATATAAAAGATTGAAGAGTTCTCCTTATCAGATAACAATAATGCATGAACAGTAACTACCAACAGAAGCCATATTACTACAACTCTCCTCTTAGTGTGCATACCTGTGTGGGCCGTGTCTAAGACATAGTACAGACAATATGGCCCCCTTCAAAAATGAATGTGATTCTTTGACATGCATCCCGTGTTAACCCTCCAGCTACACAGACTACCCCATTATGAACATCATTTATCAACTAATGAAATCTACCTTCTCTGTGCAGCATCTTCTTCCTCCACAAGCAACTTCTGACATCTTAAAGCCTCTGCATCTTTGTCAGTCACCCATGCTTTTACCTGATAACAAAATTGCAGTGCATTAAAAGAACTCGTATATCTTCATAAATCGATCCGGGACAAAAAGGGATAGTTAAATCCAAAAAGGTAGGCATGAAAACTGTAAAAGAAACAAAAAACAAAACAAAAATAAAAATAAAAAAGGACTTAGTTCTTGAGAGCAGGAGAGGGAAGTGAAGAAAACTGTACACTCTATGCAACTTAAAACATATTCATGGAATTTAATATCATATCTCGAGTTAGATTTCAAATTTTAAGTTGTAAACATAAAACCTTGGAAATAATACATATGCACAGTGCATGATGCATGCGTACAAATGAGACACACGGGCAACTCAAAGTAAGTACACATACCAACAGTTGGTGTTCGTCAACTTAAGGCTATGTTTAGCTGTTTCCTCATCAAAAACATATTTTTGAAGAGACTCAGCTGTACCAGCACATAAGAATGTATTCTCACTAGCATCGTCTAGGATATTAAACAATTCCTGTGAGGATATTGGAAGCCTGGAAGGATTGGCTTGAATAATATCCTGTAAATAGACCAGGAAGAATATAATTTTTATAAAAGATGATAATGGTATTGGAAATAATTTTTCAAATAAGATGATGTTGAACAGGTGAGACTAAGGGGCAGGCAGGATGATCAACAAAACTTCCCTTACCAATAATGAGGAGCCAGCTCTCACATAAACCTGTGGAAGAGTCCAAACACCTGGCTGGCGGAGAGAGGAAGCCAAAGCCCTAATAACTGAGGAACTAGGAACTTCCTGAAGTCGATAATAATAAATCTATTTCAGATTAATATTCAGAGGTAGCAGAAAATTCACACTTCATGAAAAAAATGAAGGTAAGATGGGGCTAAGTGCAATTACAGGGCATTGTCTCATATTACACAATCAAGAAAAAATGAAATTCAAGTATTCTCAAAATTCTATAGATTACTTCCATGCTATTCCTGAATTTTGATACTCTAATAGAAAACAAATATCTCTCCACTGACAATAACCACATAAACACATAGTTTCAACAAAAAAGCGAAGATAGAGACAAGCTAAAGAACTTTCTATAATGTAGAAAATTATGTTGATATCCATATGATGTGAGAACCAAAATTGGTGAGAATTATCTTAATTACATGAAGTTAAAAAAAATTCTTTCACAATATGTACAACGGAGCAGTAAATTTTAAATAAGTTCTCATTTAAAACTCAATGGAACATTTGAATACTTATAAATAAAGACCATGCTCAGACAGAACTTGACTAATGACTAAAACGCAAGTTTCAAAGAAATTTAAAGCCAAAAAACACATTCAGAAAATTAACTACGGGAAATTTCATGACCAACACAGGTACAAATACTGTATTTTCTTTCATTATAATAAATGACCCTTCTCACAACCATCGGTTCCCAAAAACCAACTACCTTAAAGAATTATCAAAGATACGAATGAACTATTTAGAGCTTCAGTCCAGACATGTACAGTCGATAGGGAAGAACCCAGTTACTACCTTTAACGATGCATCCTTGAGGGATAGAACTTCCCTAGCCGCCTCCTCCACTGAGAGCTATACCAAACACAAAAAATATTCACTCAGCACAGGAAGAAAAAGAGGAAATATGAGGATACAAAGACAAGTTACCTTATCCCAAAATGCAGCCAATAAATCCTTAATTTTGTGAGATTCCTATACCAAACAAGATATGGCATCAGAGATACTGTACAACATAGAGTAAGAAAGAAAATATTTAACATATCTTGAAGAAACGAGCAAATGAAAGAAGATAAATCCACAAGCACACAATGGCATTTATGAATCTGATAAAACAATAAGTAGTCTAAAACTCAGATAACCTTATTGACATTTAAAGATCGACGGTGGACACGAATGTGTCTCCTGTAGTTAACTGGTGAACAAAACTCCCGGGAACACTTCTCGCACTTCTTCATTGTAACCTTCAGAGGAGTCAGCAGGGGCCAACCAGGGAGATCAGCACAAAAGGAGTCTACAAATCAATATTCATGATTGAGCAAAAACACTAATATACTATTTCAACAATCTGCTTCCAAATTACAGAATGTCCAGCAAAACTATCCCATTGACCATTGGCTTTTGCAACATGCAGACCAAAGGCACCAACAGCCTTTGGCATTTGAGAGATGAACGTCCCGAAGCATTCTTTCTTCTTCCCACAATTGCCCATCAAATTCAAACAACAAAAATAAATCCTTAATACCATGAAAAAATTCATGCACACTAGACTCTAGCTAGTAGTCTGGTACCTGGCTGATCTAAGGCATGAAGTAACTGGATCCACTGGACTGGGCTGTCACCTGTCCTTGAGAAAGAGAGAAGAGGCTCCTTTTGTATTGCTTGCTTGATGAAAGTGTCAACGGAATCGTTCCCCTCTTCTGTTTTCATAGCATTGAGAGCTCCACCTGTGCTGAGTTCGGCAACTGCCATCTATGCTTCAACTAAAACTTGTTCGTGCAAGGACTCTGAATCAAGAGTTAATTACAAATTAAAACAAAAAGGGCATCAGTCACACAGATGAAACAATACTGTATACGAACAGAAAAGGAAACATGTCTATCTGTATTTATAACTTTCAAAACATAACATTTATATAATCAGAGAAAGTAAACAAATTACTTTCAATCTTAACATTTAAAAGTCTATATGATTCGAGATGTACAATCGTAAAATATAACAACTGCCTCAATCAGAAAACCAACTATTTAAGGAGATTAACTGAAACAATCACATTTAGAGTTTAAAATCTGGATGTGCCAGTCATACATTTGGAACATATGAAGTTGAAATTAGTAGACACACTCAGCTTATTGACAAGCATTCATATCATAAAACATACATGTATACAGAATGAAATATAAGGAGATAATCAGGATGGTGAAATAATAAGGGCAATGAATAACTACAGCAAGTTCAAGGAGTCAACGACTATACATATTCCATACTAGCACAAAACTAATTGTCATACTAAGTAAATTGTTATTCTTCATGGATAAATACATTAAGTCTTCATTTGAAATGCCTCCCTAAAGAAATCTCTGTGTCTTGCCACAGTGCCCTGATTATATAGGGCTGCGTAAACATGTGTTTCTCAGAGCAGTTCAGAGCTCCTACTTATAAAATTTAGAGGCAGTTCATAGATTCCAACCGATGGACTGACTTCAGCACAAACATATGTTAGCTTTTCCAGCCCTCCTCCCTGACAAGAGGAAAATTCTAGATGGCATTCTCATAGCTAATTCCCAACCAAAAGACAAGAATAAGAGGAATACAGTAAGTGCTTGGAGTTGAACCAATTATAATTACAATACAGATGCGAGCAACAAGACAGTCACCTGTTGATAACACCATCATATGTCACAAGGTAATACAAACCTCAACATGGGCTCAAGTACTTATATTTGAGCTTAACTAACTTAATAAATGCGAGCATTTGATGAATGTAAGCCCAACAATGTCTTCAATGTGGAAAACACTGAAACACATTGTAAGATTTGGGCAACGAAACATAAACGCTTCTCATGAGCTGAAATATAAAAAAAAAAAAAAAGAAAAAAAAGCGCATTGACAACTCACAACTGTAGTCTTTCTCCTCATAAAAATCCCAATAACTGAAACATCACATTTAACATTGTGACTGGAGTCCATTTCTCAAAAAGTTAAAGCCGTTGCCCACTGCTCTAATAAGCCATGGGTATCCACATGGGATACGCGTTTGTATAAATATAAAAACTAACCTGAATCGTTTATCAATGCATTAATCGGCAACAGAATAAAGCAGTTAAATATAAGAAACAACGACACCTCGACCAAAGGAAATTTCCAATCTACACTGAACACAACAATCAATTCTACTGGAATGCATTAAACAAAGCGCAACACAACAGCATAAAAACTATAAGATATACTTTGCTAAAACACGAACATCCACAAGCAATAAATCCTAATAGATAAAATCAAATAAATCGACAAAGAATCTTAATAAAACAATGATTGGATAAAAAATATCCAAGTAAAAATGGGTGAGGCTCGTATCAGAGTGAAGCAAAATCCACGAGAATAAACCACACAAAATTTTTTAAAATAAATAAAATACAAAATCAAAAGCTTGTGCTAGGGTTTGCGCTCACGTGATCTGTGATCGGCACGTGACTCGCGGCACGTAGAGTTAAAGTTTAAATACCAGTGTGAGGTGGATGATTGGAGAGATCGCCGGCGATCGGATGAACAAAGGTCGCCGGAAATAGGTCTGTATGTATATATATACACTAAATACAAGAGTTTCTAAGTATATATGAATTTATGTAGAGAGAGAAGAAGAATTTTTTTAGAGAGAAAGGGAGAATTGAAGAAGGCAAGAAAGAGAGTGATAAAAACGTAGAACGATGAAAAATAAACCCATTTTGCAGTAGCTGTGTGGAAAGAAAGAATCATTGTTTTATTAATATTTTTTGACTTCTTTTTATTTAATAAAGATTTGATGAATTTGGGTAAAAAACACGTTAAATACGTCGAATTGAATTGGACTTCAATGAATAGATAATTAAATCAAAATCGGTCAACCTCATATGTCAAGTCATTTAGCTTAATTCTTCTTTTTTAATTGGTTTAATTTTGTTATGTGAGTAAGATATGGATTTTTGTGGCTTAATTATATATTTAAATTAATTTAGGTAGGTTTGGGTTGGCTAAAAATAATATTTGGGATGTGCAATGAGAAATGAAATATTTGACTATTAATTGTCGGAAAATAATCAATTTAAAAGTCCGTGATGATTAGATTGATTATGCACAAACATACATCAATCGAGCATTTGATGAGTAAAAAAATTTAGATTATTTGCATTACTTATAATTATTTTATGAATTATCAAACGAATTCAATCTTGATGCGAGTTCGACAAAGTTATCCAATGTTTTATATTATTGTTTATTTGTTTGTGTGTTTAGTAGCTAGTCTCGTTCAGGAAGAAAAAGAGTTTGAATTTGAGATATTTGATAAGTGCATTTTATGCTCTTATTCGAACTTATATTCTTGTTTTCAATTGTATGTAAATTGACCGAGTGTCTACATAACTTGGGTCAATAATATTAGTTGTAGAGAAAATCCCAACTTGTATATAATTGATTAAAAAATGGTTAATTGGGGTTTAAAGTTGATTTGGAGAATTGGAGATTAAACGGATTGCAATTGATCATTTGCAAATACTAATGGAGCATTCGAAAAAATTTCATAAGTTTCAAGATTTAAATTCGACATTTAAAAAGTTTTGAGATTAAATTGCAAACTTTCGAAACTTGCATTGAATAAATTACTAATATTTTGGGATGAAGATGACTTAATTGTAAATGTTAGAAGATGGAGGACTAAAATTGCATGAGAAAAGAATTCTAATTGAAAAAAGGGGAATTGTTTTATTTTTCTTCTCAATTTTTTTGTGGAAACCAATTGGAACAATGATTTTGACCTAAATCTGATTATATAAACACGTGCCTTACTCCAACAATTAGAGAAGGCTTGAGAAATTAATTATACACATATTATACAAGTCAAAGAGGTATCCTCGAACACGAAAGACACATTGACTACAAGAAAAGAGATTTCAAAATGAGGGAAAAATGAAGAAATCAATCAAGAAGCTAGAGTTTCAAGGTTTTTACAAGTAGCAGCCGGATTCTTGGTGCAAAATTTTCATTTTCCCCCTTTTTCTTAAAACCCGATGATGTAATTTAGTTCCTTCTTTTATTTTTCTCCCATGATTAGGGAGGAGCCAGTTCCCAGCGAGGTGGTGACCGTCAGTGAGTTTACAGGTTGGATGTAGCCCACTCGTCATTGTTGTAGGGATGACAAAAAAGCTGTCGGCTCGAAAAAAGCTCGAGCCTGGCCCGGCTTGGTTACACCGAGCCTCATTTTTTTTGTCGGGCTTTGCTCGGCTCGGCTCGGCTCAGAGTAAAAAAAGCTCGAGTCGAGCCCGAGCTTTTTTATTTAATATATAATACATATAAACAGTACAAATTTTAAATATTTGAAGTAAAAATGTAGATTTGATATTAAAAAAAAAAAAACCCGAACGACTCAGTCAACTGAGCCTCATTTTTTTTTTACCGAGCTTTGCTCGGCCCAAAAAAGCTCTGCCTAAAAAAGCTCGAGTCGGGCCCGATCTTTTTTTTTTTTTAGCTCGGGCTCAGTTCGACTCAGCTCGTTGACATAGCTACGTTGTTGTAGACTTGCAGTCATCGAGAAGCTTGAAGCCGGATGGACTAGGGGAGATAGTTTGTTGAACTTGGCCTTTTTTTTTTTTTTAATTAAGAGCTTGTTTGAGCTCCATTTTTTTGAATGAAAATTCATTTTGAAATAGTATTTAAATGGAGAATATGTAACTAAAAAATAAAGAAAAATTTTGAATTTACGTGTAATATTATTTTATTAAAAATGTGCAGTTAAAAATAAGAGAGATTGACAATTATTTTGAAAATAATTGGTACCATTCAGGGGCTAAGTATGGGCCTTTGGGCTTTTTTTTGTTAATTAGGCCCATTATCCACTGCTACTTTGAATTGTACCCAACGTGCCACCATCATACATGATACGACAAATTGAATTCTGCAAAAAACATACAAAGGTGTCTTTTCTCAGTCCCTTCCTGCGAGTAAGGGTTCTCTCTCTTCCTCTGTGAAGTCTTTCCGGCCTCCCTCCGGTGGGGGTTGTTTCTTGGGTTTTCGGGTGGGTATTTTCTTGGTTTCACTTGTGGGTTAGTGGTGGGGGGTGGGAGCTTAGGCTTCCCCCCTTTTTTCTTTTCTTTTCTTCATATTTTTTTTCGTTTTCTTTTGTGTTTTTCTTCTTGTTGGCTGAGGATTCGCCGATTTGCTGGCGGGTTTTGGGCGGGGAGGTGGTGTGGTCGGCTGAGCTTTGGCGGTGGAGATTCGTGTGGGCTTCGGCCGATGTTGAGAGGCAAGAGAGGTTTGGTCGGAAATTTGTGGCTGGCCTCGGTCGTTTGGGGTTTCCTGTGGACGGGGCTGACGGGGATGTTGCTGCAGTTGGAGCTTCACCGGCGGGCAGTTTTTGGCTGGTCTTCCAGTGTTGCCGTGGGATGGTGGTGGTGGTGTGTCGGTGTATGTTGGTTGATGTTTGGTGGTGTATGTAGATTGTTTTGTCTGGTTTGTTGTTTGGTTTGTAATTTGTTTTTGTTGTTTTGGTGTGTGGTTTGTTTGGCATTGATGAAATCCAGACAATGTCCGTTTCCTGGTGAGCGGGGGTGCTTGAGTGCTGAGTGCGTAGTTGGCTTTATGTAAGGTTTTTCAAGCCTTGGTAAAGTCACAGATGTTTTCGACTTCTTTGTCATTGTTTGTTTCGGGTCGTATATAGCTTGTTTGTATTTGGGTCTTGTTTTGTGTTTGTGGTTGTTGTTTGGGCCGTGGAAGCACTTTAT